GAGAAGGGTCCATTTTGCCTGTCCACTGCCTTTAAATGGAAAATCATCCAAAATGCAGAGCACTGGTAACAACTTGTAGCAACTCAAAGAAACCCCTGCAAAGCGTTCTCAAGTCTCCCACTCTCAGAACGACTGATGCTTGCGCGCTTTATCCGTTGGTGAGATCTGTAGATGATAACCAAGCGATAGGTCACAGATAAAGTCAAGTAAAAGCTTCACATAGCTTTCATGAGGTTGAAAACCTACCGCTCCATAGGGAATTTCATCTTCGATGGTTTCCGACATGTCCATCTCCTTTCTGATCTCATCAGCCTTCAAAACTTCTTCTACTCGCGCTCGCATCACAAGATGGGACTGATACAACTGGAAACTGTGTATTTTACAATCTTCCTGAGGACTTTCTCATATGTGCCAAATCACAGTCAGGTATGACTAGATACAAAACAAAGAATCCAAGACTCACTCGAACTAAGGGCTTGGCTTTCATGAAAATGCATCCTGGAAGATGGAAGAGTTTCTCGACGATGCCAGACTCTTTCATACGCATGAGGCGGCGAGTTGGAGGAGCGAGATCTAGTGACTGCAGTGTGTCGCTGAAGAATGAGTGCTCAAAAGCTTTGAAATGGAGACTTCAAAGCAAAGCTCACGAGTAGTCTGCCATATTCGCCTTCATTTCGTCACCTCCGATGTTCTTCTGCTCATCAATGATCAAGCGTCGTTTCCTTCGTCTACGCTCCTGCTGGCGATCAAGAGCACTGGCCTCTAAAGGCTCCAACGCAAAGCTTTCCTGTTCCGCAACTCCGCCTAAAACGACAGCTGGAGTTGCTTCTACGACAAGCAGCACATACCAAGATTGTTGGCTGCTGCGCCTAGCTGCAGCTCGTCCTGAACGTCCATGCTGACCCCTTCGCCATGCCCAGCATCATGAAAAGCTGTAGAAAAAACCTCTTCTTGCAAGAATCCTTATTGTCAATTACTGAAAAATAAGCGTACCGTCCATATCATCATCGCCTCCACCCTCATCCATACCACCAAAGTCGTCACCCATAAAGATATTCACGCCAGGTGCCTTTGCACCCTCCAAACTTGGCGTGGCCTCGCGAATGTCTCGGCCCAAACCGGCAGCAAAGCTACTGGCATCTCGCTGCATCTCAAGCCCACTGAAAAGAAAACAAACATTTAAACTACTAAAGCCTTTGCCTGGACACACATCGCATAGATGTTCCAATTTCACAACCACAAGACCAACGTGCAGAACATAATCTAGTTGAAGAAACTTATTCAGATGTGATACTAACCAAAGCTGTGTTTAGCACTTAAACGACAAAATGGCTGTGGATCAAACG